GTCACCTTATGGATTTGTTTAAGCAGCAATATTTAATTATTGAAAATAAGTCTGTGTCTGAATATCTAAACTAACTAAAAACTGCTGTCTGACATGGAAGAACTTTTGTTCAGTTTCTACGAAATTCTGAATTATTAATTAGCACAGATAGAAGAAACTATACTACAATATAAGTATTAAGAACATTTGTTAAACGGGATTTCTAAATTTGTCTGTTTCTTATGCTATTATATTATTTTCTCTTATGCTTAAATAAACTTTATTATTAAATTTTAATGAGATTAAAACAGACGCCAGCCGATAAGAATTATGCAGCCTCAGCTCTGAGGATATGAAATATATCGAATATTAAGGTAAGGTATATAAGAATTATTCGATTCCTTAAATAAATTATTTTGAGTGTAAAAGAAAAATATACCAAAATAAAATTAATAATAAAATGTGTATATATTAAAAGTTGTAAATATAAGCGATATAATCCTTTAAAAAATTATTTTGAATGAAAAAAAAATTTTAAATTAAAAAAAATACATAAATAAAATTAATAATAAATAAAATGTGGAAAATAAACAAATATTTTATTTGTTTATATTTGAAATAAAAAAATTAATTTTTTTATAAAAAAAATAAAATTAATTTTTTTGAAATAAAATTTTAATTTTATTAATTAATTACTAACGTAAAGACTATAAAAATTCATGTTAAATCTTATTTATCTCTTATCTGTCAATATTTTCAGGCAACCCTAAGAAAATTTGCCGACTCTAGGGTATACATACCTCATTTGTATCTCGATTTCCATGTAAAATATTCTTGCCTTTCCACAAGGACATCTCCGAACATCCTGACCGATAATTGAATTAAAACTCTGCCATAAAAACAATGAAATTAGAATGGAATTTTGTTTGTTTTGCAACTTTTAAGAACTTGCTCTGTGGAGCGCAGCAGAAAGTCCAGTATTTGTTTTCCTGTGTGTGCTGTCCAGTGTCAGTAACGGCTTTTAGTGGCCATGTCAGCATTATTAAAGCAATTAATTTATATCTGTTAGATCGGCATGCGGCCACAACAAGAACTGTCGTAGTTTGTGCGACACGATTAATTAAGCCTGTCATCGTGTAAATTTTGCTAAATTATTATCAATACGCTTCACAGCGATAACAGCGAGGACATGTCGCCCATATATGAGGGCGGGGCGTGGCAACGGTGGCGGCGCGGAGCTGGATACGCAGGTTCGCTGGCATTCGGTTGTCCAAATTGCAATTGCGATATGACAATAATGCAATCAAACAATCAATCAATTAATGTCTGCCCGAATTAATGTTGAATATTATGTATTATCGTCAATGCCATCATTAGCACTAAATTCAATTATATTGCGAGGCTGGCAGGCAGGCAGGCAGTCAGTCAGGCAAGGAGACGCAGGATGTCAGTCAACCAAGTGATGATTCATCATTCTTAAATTTTTGCCACCTTTCAGTTTCGGTTGTGTGTGTTATGTGTGTGTGTGTGTGTGTGTGTGAACTCAGTGCTGTTTGTGTTGTGCTTCAAAAAGATATGAAAATAAAATTATATTTCGGGTAAATTTGTACAAATTTTATACTTCAACATGGCGCACTCTACGTGCGCCCCCAATATCGAAGTTCTAGAGATATACCACGATGTCTATAACTCCAGACAGTTCTCCCTCTGGTGCTTTGCTCTGGCATCGGTCGCCTTTATGTACTTTCAGCTGCAGAGGCGTCCACAGTAAGCGAGTCGTGCTCTGGTCTATGGCTAAGATTACAATAAATGCCCGTTAAAAATCAAAGTGATTTGTTTTTGTATTGTAAAAGGCAATCAAGTGGGGAGTGCTTGACTGGGAGATACCCTCAAAACAGAGCAGAATATTATAGCGATTCTGATATGATTCTATAGCTATGATCTATAGCTAGAACTAGTTCTAGTAGTGTCCACACATACACATATGCACATGCATACACACACACACAAGCAGACGCTTGTGAAGGCAGCTATCCAAAGTTTCTACTGGACATCAGCGTATATTAGTTAAGTTAATATGTATGTGACAGACAGAAGAAGGCGTGGCAGACTCCAAAAGGTATATAAATTGCTGATGAGGGCCAGGAACTGCTTAGTCTTGGCCCTGTCCATCTGCTCTCTGTCTGAAAAAAGAAGCGAGGAAAGCGAAGCTGCTCGAAGGGCTCAGAAGATCTCGTAGTCCGACTGCATTGACTTGAGCTTTACTTGTCTGTATATTAGCAAATTACCTCTTCTAATGTTACTATTTGCTCCAGTCAAAGTCATCTTTAAAGAAACTTACTTTCGCTGAGCTGCTGTCAGTCTAAGGCACACAACCAAAGCGTCTTCAGTTCATTTCGACTGCAGTCGAATTAAGTTCGATTATTAATCAGTAAATTGGCACCGACATTACGTTGATATAACGGTAATATTGATATATATTTTTGGTAATCGCAGATTTGATATCTGATGGAATGCTCGGCTTGATTGTGGGCAAAATGTAGACGTTACTCATACGCCACGTATGGCTGACGTCTCTCTCTTTGTGCGTGTGACATATGCAAATATTGATGAAAGTGCGTGTGTGTGAGCAGTTGTGCATAATAATATGCAAATGTATTGTGCGTCTGTGTGTGTGTGTGAGAAAAACAAATACACGCCTACATGCACATAGTGTGGGTGAAGTGGGGCGGTAAAAGGAGGGTGGGCATAAAAGTTAAGTAAATATATAAACATGCAGCGGCTTACGCATGCCTGACTGTCAGTCGCTTCATTGTTGTTGCTGTTGTAGTTGTTGTTGCTGTAACTGCATGTTTATGTTGTTATTGATATGTATACCATATACACATGTATTCACAGCACATATGTATGTGTAAGTATGTATGCCTGTAAGTCGAGTAAACATTGAAATCAGTTCTGTATCGTAAACCCAGACGATAGTCCATGCACGAGTATATGAATATGAATATAAACATAAAGCCATCTACTTACACATATGGCGCTACCTCCCTCTCCTCCGTCTCCTCCCTTCCTACCTCCCTGCCATCTCCCTGTCTCTTTCGGTATCTGTTTGGCGCTTCTTTTTTCAATAAATTGTGCGTGAATGATGCATAAATCAAATAAAGTTAAAAAATTATATTCCGCTGTCGCCCATCATACGGAGCGTAAAAAAGCGTTACGCTCGTATTTTCCTTCTCTTTTTTTTTATCCAGCTGTCATGTAAATGGGTGTGAGTGTGCGTGTGTGTGTGTGTGTGTGTGTGCTTACTGGCAGTTTGTGCATTCACATACAATGTATAAATATACACGCATTCAAAGTGAAAAGCAAATTGCATTAAGGTGAACGCTTGTTAATAAATAAACATTACTTTATATCGCAGTATATTAAATGCCCCGTTAAGATGAAGAAGCAAAACTGAGGCATATTAGCTATACACACTCCAATATATATTTTCTATATTATCTTTTTGTTTTTTATATATATTTTTTTTAAAGATATTTGAAAGAACTATAGTCAACTAAAACAATAATTAAATAGAAATTCGTACTCAATAATTTTCGATAATTTGAATTTCTGTGTAAATCGAAAAATAAACTGATTCCATTTCGAATTATCGGGATTCTACTGTATATAGCCTTGAGGGTCGTGGCGAATTGGATTAACTCTTATAGTTTTAACAGCTGGAGATTCAACACTTAAAAACGAAATTCCTGCTGAGCTTTTCTATGCTATATAGATATATAAATAGATTAATAAAT